ATTTAACAAAATATTGCAGTAACTATTATAAATATGAATGCTGGTTGTTATTTTAAGAAGTGGGTACAAATGGAAAGATTTTAAATTGGCAACTTTTTCCATTTCACTGAAACTGACTTTAAACACTTCTATTTTCCCTTTGTTCTTTCTTACTAAAACCAAGTAGCATCTTTGATATGTCTTTCCACACAATCAAAATAAAATAGTTCTTTATTCATAGAGATACTGGCAGGAGACAAATATTTATCTTCCTTACTTTCTTTCTTTCATTTACAAACTGAAACCAAGTAGTGTCTCTAATATGTCATTTCAGTGTTTTCACACAGTCAAAACAGAATAGTCCATTATTTGTGAGGTATTAGTAGGGTGTGACGGTCATGTGAACTAAGGGAGAGTAGAGCAGAATTATAATAGGGTGATGTCATGGGTCAGGATGAGCTGTTTTGGTTGGACTTTGTACATTTCAGTATGGAAAATGATACAGAGAAGGCATCTCATAATTAAGACGTGAGCTGTGTGTATACATATAAATATAAAAGTGGACACTGATGTCAACACTGAATGGCAACAGTCTGTTTCATGCTTAAAAACAATCTTCAGGGCATGATGGTTACATGAAACAGACTGTCAGCATTCAGTGTTGACCTTAGTACCTACTCTTATATTTACATATGCTCTATCCCTGATATTGAGCATTTTTACCTATAAATAGTCTTCTTTCACCCTTGACTCCAGCTAGGTGGCTCACCTTCGTCACAAACTCGTGGACATTGTAGTTCATCTGAAGAGCCCTTCTGCACTGGCCAGTGACCTGTGTCAAGTCCTTCCCTAGTGGCACCATGTTAACACCACACCCTCATGTGAGTTTAACCCACCAGCTGAAACAGTTTACCAGGACATGGTAACCTAGAGCCATCATGCGAGAAATTTAGGAGATAGTTAAGGACCAGTGAATCCCATCCACCCAAAGGTGCAATGTGCCAGACATTAAAGAGCCCCTAATACCCATAGAACATAAATATAACATACCTTAAAACTATATTTTTTTATATATATATATATATATATATATATATATATATATATATATATGTGTGTGTGTGTGTGTGTGTGTGTGTGCACAAGAGAGATTGTGAATTAGAAGAAAGAAAATTTGTACTGAAAAAAATCTCTTCTTCATCTGCCAGAAACGAACCTATAAAGTTTGAGACCCTTCTTTTAAAATATGACCAAGCCATTTTTTCATGTCATTTTAACTATAAATCATATGCCATTATCGTGACCTATGTTAACAACTTCCGTTTTTCATACCATACTGTAATGTACCAGTTTCATAAGGTTTTCAAAATTAAATAATAAAAAAAAGAAAAATAAATTTAAAAAAAAATTCAACCAATTTTAAGTATATTGGCTTCAGCATAAAGAAAATCAAAAAAATCACATGGGCTGGATGACCTTATTAACCTTTAGCACTCTGCATTATTAATAGTACTTCCCTTTCCTCTGCATTCTTTTTCAAGGATTCTCAATTGCAGTATCCTTACTGTTAATTTCACTCAAAGTTGTTTTCTGCTGCCATAGCAGGATATGACAACACAACTATGAAATTCAAACACGCTATTGTTCAGAGATAAGTCACCTTCAGTAACAGGTTAAAAATCTGATGCTTTTCTCATTGCAAACCAACCAAAATATCCAAGATAAAAAAAAAAACTAAATGGGTTACAAACTCAGGTGATTGGTGGGCTAAATTAGCTGGCAACTCCAAGTAAACCAGATATGAGCTATGATACATGTGAATTCTTTTATGTACTCTATCCCTCAGAACATGTGTGATCATGGCTCTCCACAACATCTTATCCTTCATACCTCTTAAGCTCAATATTGCATTAAAGTTGGAAAAAGTTGACTGCTTTGAGCTCATCAATCATTATGGCTTCACAAAATGAAGATCACAAGGAAGTCTGTACACATCGCTTGAAGGCACATTTGTGACTGATAAGTCCAATAAAGGACAAGCATATTCAGTCGCTGTAGTTGCAGCTAAAAGTCTGTCCTGGGCTCGATGGCATAGCATTGCAGTACTTCAACTCTGAGAGCAGCCCTCACAGTTCTTATCTAAGATTGACCATTGGCAATGGTTAATATGACAGGCAACAAAGGATTTTTTCAGGCAATCTTTGAATCACTTCTTTGGTGCCCCTCTGTCACAATAGACAGTGGAGAGCTCGCTGTACAATAAAATTTTAGGTAGGCGATGAATCTCCATCCTGGAAACATGTCCAACCCAGTGCAGCTGTAGAGTTCAGCAGCATGGTTTCAATGCTGGTGATCTTCGCCTTTTCAAGAACTTCAATATTGGAAATGAAGTCACTCCAGTGTATATTAAGGATCGTGTGGAGGCAGCACTGGTGGAACTATTTGAGGAGTCGTAGGTAGTGTCAGTAGGTGACCCATGACTGAGCCATATAGTCTGCCAAATGCCCATCTGTTGCTGACCTCCTTGTTGATCCTAGCATCCAATGTGATGGCACATCCAAGGTAGGTCCATTCAAGATCATCAATAAAGCTACAAGAAAGACTAAAAGAAAAAAAACCCAGAGAGTCATTCCTGTTTTGAGCAACTCTGAAAACGTTGAAATTATTGCAGACATGCCACATTTGCTAACCTATCACAAGGAGGATTTTACAGGATGTTTCAGAAAAATTGGTGCTATTTTGAAATCTAATAACTTGACCAAATGATCTCAAATGTTTTCCATATATGTGTATAAAATGGATACAGAATCCAAAGTTTTGAAGAAATTCAATAAATGGAAAACCATTTCACTGAAACTAGATTTGATTATACGTTTCACTTTTCTAGGCTTCATCAGATCCAAAAATGGAAAACACATAGCAAAACCAAAAAACATATAGATCTTTCACTTTCAACTGATTCTGGAAAATTGGATAGGGATTTATCTTAACTTTATTTCAGAAAAGGCTATATGAATCTCTTGCTTTCGAGCCATTGTGAAAATAAGATGATGATTTACTTTAAACTCAATACAGAAAAACTGGGAAAATATATTAAGTTTTGATATGAACTAGGACCTATAAAAAAAAAGATACAGAAAAAATATTATCTGCTTTTTAAAGTCATTCATTTTCATTCTTTCCATTCAACACAAAAAGTAGCAGCTTGACGAAGGAAGTACTAATGATTTATTATTTGAGCATACACACACACACACAAATACATACACACACACACAGGCATTTCTTTTTGTTTTTGGGTCTGATGAAGCCTAGAAAGGTGAAACGCATAATCAAATCTAGTTTCAATGAAACAGTTTTCCACTTGTCAAATTTCTTCAAAAATATAGCTTAGGATCTCCTAGCTACCAACGTCTTTCGCATAGTAAAAACGTGAAAATTTTACTTCTGCTCTGCCATGCAATGATAGCTTAGTGGTAGAATCTCTGACTGATGCCAAATCGGTTGGGTTTCAAGCCTGGCTTGAAACAATCAAATATCTAGCCACACTGATGAGCTGTGATACAGCAAAACAGTCTGTTTGTGGATGACATATATATATATATATAAGGTAACCAAAAAAGTTCTGTCCATTTTTAAAGGAAGAAAAGAAAAAGCTTCACAGTATGTGAAACTTATATTTAGTCTTGGAAGTAATCACCATCGGCATCCAGCACCTTCTGCCAACGTGTCTCCTGCTGTTCAATGCCTTTGCAGTAGAACTTGGGGTTGACGCAAAGAAGTCCGAGAGGGCTTTGCACAAGTCTGCTTCATTGGTGAAGGATTTCCCACGAAGATGATTATCCAGGGAGTGGAAGAGGTGGTAATCGGATGGCGCAAGGTCAAGTGAAATAAGGTGGATAGCACAAAGTCTTCCACCCAAGTTGCTGTATGGTATCCCTGACCACTCGCGCGACATGCAGCCGGGCATTGTCATGGAGGAAAAGCACACCTTTGCGATTCACCAGTGCTGGCTCCTTCTGGTGCAATGCCTGTTGCACACGTTTCAATTGCTGCGAGTATAGGTCTCCAGTGACCGTTTGGCCCGTTGATAGCAGTTCATAATGAACCACTTGACGACCTGTTCACCAGACACAAAGCATAATCTTGCGTGGGTGCATTGGCAGTCTTGCGGTGTGAGGGACAGCATCCTGAGGAGACAACCAATGTCTGGAACGCTTGGGAGTTTCGTACAGAACCCACTTTTCATCACTGGTAAGCACTCGATTGAATAAAGATGCGGTATGGTGGCAAGAAAGCAATGATACCCAGGCTGCCACTTGTCTCTTGTGGACCTCCAACAGCATTTGCGGAACCCACTTGCTCAGTTTGTACGTCTTACCTAGGCGGTGCAGGTGAAGTCTAACTGTTTCATCCAAAACGTTGAACTGTCTTGCAAGTTCATCACACGTTAGACTACTGTCCTCTTCAATGGCCGCCTTCAGGACTACGTCATTCAAGACCTGTGGTCGTCCACTACGAGGCTCATCATGGGGAGACAAATCTCCCGACTTGAATTTTCAAAACCAACGCTTTGCAGTACGTTCACCCACAGCACTATCCCCAAACTCTTGACATATGTGGTGACTTGATGCAGCTGCTGATAAGCCCACTTTGAAGTCGTAAAGCAAACAGCCCCAAATGAGATCTCTAGACACTTCCATCCTTCTCACAGCTGTATGGCTTATAACTGATGGCCGGGCACTGTGCGCGTTTTTTATTTCTGATGTTCCTACTTCCAGGTGTCCAAATTTGAAAACAATTGCTACACACATTTCGTATATATTTCAACTTCATTCAATGACTAATCAAAAAACGGACAGAACTTTTTTGGATACCTTGTGTGTATATATATATATATATATATATTATATATATAAAAATGTCAGTCCTTATCATTTATGTTACAAAGTAAGAATCAGTGCTATTTCTAAACCAGCATAGATATAATATACAATAGCTTAGAACTTGTTTGAGGATACATTTTTATTATATTGTGGGTTTAGTTATTGTTAAGCTTAGTCTATATTGCAGAGTATCCTATGGAAGCCAAAATGGCAGCCCCCATGTGAAATCACCATCCATGTTCTATAGTCATTTATTGCTAATGAATGGCAATTTCCTATTTTTCATTAAAATGGACCAGTACAGCCAGGCCAACAATGTACTAACACATCAGTAAAAGTGTTAAACATTTAAAAAAAATAAAAATATGGAAAGAGAAAAAATATTAAAAACATTTTTTTTAGAAAAATGGAAAGAAAAAATATTGAAAAAATAATTAAAAATAAACAAAAATGGAAAGAGAAAAAATATGAAAAAAAAATATCAACCAAGTGACAAAATATGTCGCTACAAATACAAAAATAATGAAAATTCTCAGAGAAATTATTAAAATAAAAATGATTAAGAGAAAATAAAGCAGAGTAGATAAAAAAAAAAAGAGTTAATTCTTTCTCCAAACATTTTTAATGGGATCAATCAAGCCAAACCCACAAGAGAAAAAAAAAAAAAATGTATGTGGAAAGAGTAAGAAGAAATATCCAATTTGATATCAGTGTACACTTTCACAAAACTTTTGCCATTACTTTGATATAAAGCTGGTCAGTCTTTTTGACATATATATCAAAGGCAATTTTAGCATTCTCCATGAAGAATCCATACACTTAGCTTCATCATCAGAAACTGTTTACTGACAATAGGGACTCATTTAATAATCTTAAAAAAAAACCTTTATTAATGACTGATGATTCTAATTAGCTG